AAGAGCTCAAAGATGTCCGACGTGGGCTGGTGGATGGAGCAAATGGCCGCCTTCTTGTGCGTCCCGTTCGGGCTGCTGTTGAGCAGGCTCAGCGTGGGCAGATCCCGCATACCCTTCAGCAGGCTCTCATGCGATTTGGCCACAATCTCCATTTCGATGGAGCTGCAGCCGCTGCTCTCGCCACTAGGCGGTTCGAAGGAGTCCTCGCCGTATACCTGGCTCAGCGAGTGCTTGGTTATGCGCCGCCGGGTGCACAGATGGCGCAGCGTCTTGATCACCGAGTAGGCACTGAAGCTGTCCAGGCCCGTAGTGGGTTCGTCGCAGAACAAAAAGATGGGATCCGTGATCAGCTCCTCGGCCAGGCTGAGGCGCTTCCGCTCCCCCCCGGACAGCTCTTGGATTCGGGTGTGGGCGGAGTCCCTGAGGCCCACAGCCAGCAATAAATCCACCACACGCTGGCGCTTTTCCGCCTTGGTGGTGCGACGATGCATCTTGAAGTGCGACTGATCAAAGATTCAATGAAAGTGAAACTGTCAAGAGGGGAAAGGACCTACCATAAAGTAGAGATGCTCGTAGGCCGTAAAGGTTTTAAGATTGATCTCAAACTGCGGCAGAAAGCTGGAGATACGCGTCATCTGATTCCGCTCCATGGCCATTCCGTTCAAAACCACATCCCCGGTTAGGTTACCCCGCAATCGTTGGGAAATTGCCGCCAGCAATGTGGTTTTTCCAGCCCCCGAACCGCCCAATATGGCGATGAGGTCGCCGGTCTTCATGTGGCCGCTGGCTGCAATGATGACACAACCCCCCACCAGAACACCGCAAATCAGTCCCATTCCCACACTGGCGGAGTAGTGGCCTTACCATCTTGGAGTATCCTCAGCTCGCGCTTCTTGCGGCACTCGTTCCAGAAGCTGTAGTTGCTCTGCTCCTGGGCGGGCACATAGTAGTTGAGATGCTTCCACTCCAGGCACAGGGACGGGCCCTGCGGCTGCTGTGGCTCCGACACGTTCATTCAAACAGCCAGCAGAGTTCAATGGACGGATAAGAATGGGTCTCGTTTCGTTTCGAATTGGGCTCTTTGTATATTTATATTTGACTTGTCTGCTGCAACCAGCATTCACTAATCCCGGCCAGGCTTATCGCTCGCTCGAGGATGGAATGGAATGGCAGCCAGCACTTTATCTTATCTTATGTCAGGAACTGTAGCACACAATGTATTTGCATATCTGTCGGCGGGTACGCGGTCACACCTTCAATCTTTCATTCGCGGGGGAGAAACCTTAAATCTGTCTGTAAATCACGGCACCAAGAGAGAGAGAGTTCCGAGCTGGTACCCATGGAGATCACATACAACTGTTCGCGTCGAAGACTAAGCGGCAACTGGGCAATGTCTATGCCGGCTACAACGTTTTCTACCCCCAGCATATATGGCCCCAAAACCAGTCCAAAACCAAACCGCCCTCATAACGGAACACATGGCGGGTAACATTAAACTTTTGACCGCATTATGATGGCAAGCTAATTGTCGCCTATCAATTCACATAGTCAAACGGCGGCAGTTCCGCGGTGTCGGCCAACGAGAGACGCTGCTCTTTAGACGCCTCCGCTACCGCTCTATGGCTGGCTCTGTGTCGTCTAGCCTGAGCGTAGATCCAGCGGATCAGAATGGAAATATCTAGGATCATGTTGTGGAGCAGCACATGGCCCATCTCCACCAGACCCAGCACACTGACGCCCACGAAGAAGGCCAAGGCGCCGCCAAAGGACACTGCGAATGGAAGGAGAAAAACAATTCGCTCAGAAACATTCGATTCGACTGGCAATCGGCACCCACCAATGAGATCCTCAAAGCTATAGACAACATCACGACGCAAACGCACCTTGGGCGGAATCAGGTCCCAACGGAAGCTGGAGGTAGCCGTCTCACTGCTGGCCACCTCGTCGTTATTCTTTACGCCCCACGAGCTCTTCTTCACCGTTTGCATGGTGTACTCAATCTCCGTGCACGTCGAGGGGCACTTGCAGATGTGCAGGGCCCAGATGGGCCACTTGAAGTCCAGCAGGCACTCGAATCCCGCCGGATTGCAGCCAGGCCCCTCCACAAACTGGTAGAAGAAGGGCACACAATTGCACATCTCCAGTGCCATCACAGCCCGACAGCGAGCCAGGCAAAGAGATTTGCTATAGATCTACAGAAAGATAAGCATATCTATGATAAGAGAAGGCATAAACAAGGCTGCCCCTTATAAGAATAATTCTATAAAAAATAATATTAATAAATATTTCTATGGGAATATTGCACACTTCGTTTCACGCGCATTAATTTGTTTTTGAATTGCGAAAATTGTTTTCTTGCTGAAGCGAAACGATAGGGCAATGATTCTATAGCCCACAGTGTTCAGGGTTACCTCCAGATTGGATGTCTCCTCGTTGTTGAACACGCATTTGCGCTGTGCCACGCTCAGTTGGTGGAGATTTTTCGACGCCCTAGCCGTAAGTTAGCATATAAATCAATCTCTCTATGGTGTCTAGATGTTTGGTCTACTTACACCGTCTCGAGCACCTTGAACGAGGCCGTTATCTCATCGGATTTGTGCAGCGCCACAATGTTCGCCTCTGTTGCGGATACCTCATACGGCGAGTGCACGTCCAGCTGGAAGGTGATAGCCAACGCCAACTTAGATGCAGTCTCAATAGAGTCAGTCATTGTGTGATCTTACCACGCCCGTGCTCTCGTACAGGTCCATTCGAATGTAGCACTGCTGCTTGCCGTACTGGCAGGAGAGCGGCTGTTCCATATCCTCATAGACGATGGGTCTGTGAACGGAAATTTAATCCCTTAATATTATCTTTTCTTGTCCCTTACTTACTTTCCGCTGAGCACCGAAGACATGGGCGAGTTGATGGCATAGCAGGAGCCGCGCTCTGTCATCACCATCTGGACATGGACCTTGAAGTTGGCATCGAAGCTGCTGATGACCTGCTCGAAGGGCCGATCCACCTGCTGTATCAGTTCGTACAGATCAATCTGGTCGAAGCGCTCGTCCTCCGCAAACTTGGCCAGCTCCGCGTAGTTGCTGGCCGTGGAATTGACCACCGCATACATAAAGTCCATAAAGTAGAAGTAGTCCTCGTCAATAATGGACACGTTCCACGCATCCTGAATGTACTCGTTCGCCTTGAACGAGTCTATGTGATCGTAGTAGCACAGGGTGACTGCCGGCAACGAGCCATTCCAGCCACGATAGTCTCGGTCCACCGATATGACAGTGGGGGAGTTGAGGTACCGCTCGTACTGCAGGCCGCTGAGCATAATAGCGGCGTAGATACTGCTCAGGACGACCACCAGCCAGAGGGTCCTCTCCAAGGTGTGCAGCTGCCGGTTAACTATTAGACTGATTGCCAACACGCCAGTTTCGGCTCCGGCTATTTCAGCCATCTCTCGTAGTCGGTTGCTGTAGCTCTTAAAGAAGTCTAGGACTGCTGGTAGCCAGGCCAGCAGCCTCTTCCACGTCCGAGCAGAGAACCGCCTTAGCCAGGCCCACAACTGTCGGCTGTCCATGCTGACCAAATAATATGGCAAGCTAATGCGCGAGGGCTTTTATTCAAATTTGAATCCAGCTGGACTCCCATTAGCGATTTATGACAATGGCCATCAGCCCTCCGATAAAACTTTCAACGAACAAAGCAATGCATTAATTGGTTCAACAAAAGGGTTCGATTTCTTATCGCCAGCAATAATTCCGCACGCGAGCAGGGGTCGTCCGTGTTGCTACGCCAGGAAACGATTAAAGGTGCGCACCAGCACCTAGAGCTTATATCCCGATCCACCATCAACATCTACTAGCAACACCTCATAGCGTGCATACAGGTTTGCAATACCTTGTGATGTGTTGTTTGGCGCAAAATATACTCCTCCAACTGGTGGCAAAGATTTGCGTGCAACAGCTAGAGAAAGTGCACTGCGGAGGCATATTGCTGTACACCAAGGCGGATTATAGCTATTGCTGCTCCAGGTAGTCCGCAAGTCGAAATATTATTCGTATTATTTGCAATTTTTAGAGCAAAATCAAATTTAAAGTAGCAGTGTTGGTAAACTCTAGACATGATGGCGATAATATATCCGATGTGCGACTATCGATGTCCAATAAGACGATCGAAATCAAATTAAAACAATAAACTGCCTATAGTACAACAATTGTTATTAGTTCACTACATCATCGCTTGGATCCTGCAGAAGTTTGATGTCATTCAGCAGCAGCAGAGAATGAGAGACAAAAAGCTGAAAGCGAGTCGAGGAAAGTAGAAGGCGGCTTAGCCCCGGCAATTAGTTAGCCATTGGCATTGCCATTAAGTTGAAATGCAATTTGCCAATGCAAAAGTTGCCTTGACTGCTGCCAGAGCTTTAAGGCAAGCAACCAACCAACCAACCATCAGGCGGTAGGCAGTAGGCAGAGTAGCTCCATCTGACTAATTAAACCACGCGAATTGTGCGCCTACAGTTATGCGCCACACTCCACAACAATTGCCTGCCACCGCTGCCACTGCCACTGCGTTTTCCACTGCCACAGAGCTGCTCTCTGTTTCTGTTTCTGTTTCAGTTTCTGCTTGTGCCCCAGTGCCAGTGCCAGTGCCTGGTTGTTGTGCTTATTTCTTAATTATTAATTAAGAATGAAAACAAGGCAAAAACAGTAAGTTGCATGCGCGCACTTTCGCTGCACACAGCAAACTCAGTGCTGAAATTGCCACAATTTCGCTGTAGAAACGCCCGTGGGCGTGCAAAAGGCTTTACACACACACTCTAACATTTGCTGGAATGGCGGCGGGTATGCTTGACATTTTTGTGTGATCAGTAAGTGAAAATATAGCATATCTTTATTGGGTTTAGTTTGCGCTGTTAAGGCGCAGCAAATGTTGTGAAAATTTCATTCATTATCTATTGATTGGCTGCAATTTTCTTCGTTAACATATGATTTGTACAGCAGCGCTAACATGTTAACAGTGCAGCTTAACAGCGTGTTAGCGCTCCCCTTTAACAGCCTGTTAGCGCTCTCCTTTAACAGCGTGTTAGCGCGCGCCTTTAACAGCCTATTAGCGGTCGCCTTTAACAGCCTGCTAGCGCTCTTCTTTCTTCATTTGTATTGCAAATGCATATGTATGTGTGCATATGAACGCGTCTCGGTGCCATAACGGTAAAATGTTGACATACATATGTGAACGCATAGAAAAGTATATGATATGTCGTATGTTTATGTACATGCAAAGCAAGGCGCTGAAATGTATATACATACACATACACATATACTTTTTTTACCGTTACGTTATGCCGTATGTGTGTGTATATAAATTTCAGCGCCTTGCTTTGTATATACTCGTACATGCACATACACATATACTTTTTTTGCCGTTACGAACCGCTATGTACATACATACATTTGTATGTACATATGTCCGAATTATTGCGGACGCAGTTTACTTTTCCGCGGTTTATACGAAACGGTAGGAAACACTCATATAAACATTTCAACGTATGCGGCAGAAAAGTAAACTGCGCCACTAAAAACTTAACAAATACCTTCACTAAATTGTACTCACCAAGTTTGGTTTGCGGCTTACACGTATCTTTTTCAACTTCACTGAATTCTGAAATGATCCTGACTGATCCTAATCGATGTTTGAAACGAATATATCGAATCGATTGCAACATTGTAACATTGCTGTTAGTAGCTAACAGGGGGCTGTTAAATAACCTGGTGCTTGTACAACACACCACACAAACTAACCACTAGCTGTTAAATAACATGAGGCATGGCATGCCATTTCTTTTGTCTCTTACCACACAAACTTACCACAAGCACCAGGATTCCCAGGCCACAATATTGTACTTCACCTCAAAGGTGAAACAGGTGTAAGTATGATCACAGTTACAATACAAATACACCTGTAAAACAGTTTTTTTTGTTTTCATTAAGTATCTCCATTGATGCTTACTTGGAGGACTTTCCCGGCCTGGTTCACTTTATGTATGTGAATCGCAGCAGTGGACAAATGTTGGGGCCCGATCTCCCTATGGAATATGATCGAGTTTGCCCGAAGGTATCTCAAGAAGGGGCAGACAACAGTCATGTGGAAGGACAAAGTCTTTCACTACTCCTACTTCCTCTGGTTCGAGGATCAGTCGGGCGGCATTCTCAGCCCAACTCTGGACCTGCAGCACCATTTTCTTGCAACAGCTGCGTCCAGTGGCAGTGCCATAAAGGTGCCAACCGAGCCTGGAGCCCTCTCCGTGGACTATTACTTTGATCTGGCTGAGCTCTGCTTCCCAAAGCTGGCGCCCGGCAAGGTTCGCGTATACGAGTTGTTCTGCATCCATCTTGGCCTGGTCACAACTACCTGCGCTGTAGAGCATGCCCGACGTTTGGTGGCCACCATCAGCGATGTGGTGGGCGACGAGACATTTTAAATATATATATATATTATATCGTTAGTAAGCCTAATATTCCATATATCCATTCCAGCGGCCGGGCGCATGAATCTAGTCAATTTATGGGACATATGCAATATGAAACGTTTTAAGGACAGCTCTTCACTGTTATAAATTGCTCCATTTCAATGTTAAATATATAAATTATAAATCGTTTAATGTGTAACAAAAAATTGGTTTATTGCGACTCGGTCGGAGACTGCTGTGTTTGCGACTTGCGTGCCGTCAAAGGCATGGATTTCTGACGCAACATGTAGTTCTCATTGCCCAAGGCCGTGTAGGTGTTATCACCAATGAGTTCCCTCAACGCAATGTTCTTCTTCAAGTGCTTATCTTGTCAATCTCCGCATCGGTAGCCACCTGATTAAAGTCCTTCATGAACGTCCAACTGCCGACGCCGAAGAGACCCAATATGGAGTACAGAACAAAGCGGACCTGAGGAGGAAGAAGCCAGTGATTAAAAAACCCCTCGTCCACACAAACATATGTTACTTACGCTGCCATGGCGGTGAAACAGATTGAGGCGCAGGTTCAGATAATGTCCGATGGTGTAGACCATGAGAAAGCTCACGGTGGGGAATATCGAGTTGAGCAGCACACGATACGTTACAGTACCGTAGTTCACTGGTATGCCTAGCGCTCCCGAATCGGAACTTGGTGGTCCCAGCTTGAAATAGATCGAAGCCGAACACGGTGAAGGGTTTGACGAACTTGCGCTCAAATGGTTCCACCTGCAGTTTGTCTAGCGCTTGCTCCAATCGTTGCTGCACTACTTCAGGCACGGGCCTTCCTACGCCATGTCTGAAATAAAGCGTTTTAGATTAGATGCCTACAGACTGCCCGCTAGTGTCATCGCCTGGTCGGTGGCCAATGAGCCGCGCTCCTTCAAGATGGGGGCCCTCAGATACTTTCAGTGAGTTGCATCGCCTTTGTAGCGCAGGGCTAATCGCTATCGCTATCAATGCCAGCCCCGATCCGCCCAAACAGTGCCACCTGGCCGCATTGCTCGACATCGTCGGCTTCAACCGATACAACGCATGGTACCAGAACTCTGGACGCACGGACATGATCGTCAATCTGCTGACAGAGGAGGCGCAGCGCTGGCACCAGAACTTCGGGAAGCCCGTGATCCTCTTCGAGTACGGCGCTGA